TTTGATTTTGGTTTCTTGTCTTTTGGAAGAATATCAGAAATGTCTATCCGAAATGTTTGTTCCATTCCTGGTATTGGGATAAGTTTTGGTTGAAGTTCTTCAAGATTGGAATCAACTTTTGATTTAGCAATTTCTATTAATGCATATAATGGCCGATGAATGTATTGTGTATTTTTTGGAAATATTTCCGATAAAACATCTGCTGATACAGAATCTGACTGGTAGACTAATTGACGAAAGATTCCATTTATACCATTAATAAGACCAAGTTCAATAGCAATGTTTTGTGTTAAAATAACAGGCATTCCAGGAACAAAAGGGTAATAAACCAGGTAAATGCTCTGTCTTGCTATCAGATAATTCCAATAATTTTTTTATAAGTACGGGATCTTCAATTGGTTTTCCATTACAAGTGTCTTGAGCGACGCATACCATTGGGACGCGGCCTAATTGAGCTGCATTGTGAATTGCTGCCTTGTTGTTCAATTGTGTTCGTACTTCATTTCGGAACACAAGGATCGGAGCCTAAACGAGACAAATATACACGTTTGTGTCAAAAGGAAAAGAAAACTTACTTTATTCCATGGTGAATCACAGAGAGAGTCTACTGATGGTTGCCCAACCACTCGTGTAAGCAATAATTCATAGTCGTCATAATTACATTGTCCATGACGAAGACGTTCGAGTAGCTGAAGGTACCGTGAATCTTCTGTTCGCATCTGTTGCGTAAGTTTTACCACACAGTTAATTTGAAGTATTAAAGATCGTGCAACACGCTGTTGAATTTCTTTTTCTGTAGGTAACTTGCACGATTTACTTTTAGATGATAATGTGAAATCGGTGTGTAATGGTGCATCAAATACAGGTCGATATTGTAAATAATCACCAAAGAAGATAACGTTTACACCACCAAATGGAACTTGAGAATCGACATGTTTTGCAGTAGAAATAATTCGGTTGAGTTTTGCTAGTAGAGTTAAACCAACCATACTCATCTCATCAATTAAAAGATATTCGACTGGTCTCCATTCTTTTTCAAGTTTTGAGTCACCTGGTTTAATAGTTCGTGGCTTTCTTGAATTGCGTTGTTCGCCCAAAAATGAATGAATTGTCATTCCATCTATTTCAGCAGCAGCAATTCCAGTCGGTGCAAGCTTTCTCATCATTTGCATTCTTTTTGTAACGAGAAAGTATTTGGTAAGAGCACGAATAAGTT